TCCTCAGTAGCAAAAGTTCATCTTTTCGGTCTGCCGGTTAAACCCTCCGCAATATTTTGTGAACATTTGAGCGCTATCTAGCGCTTCCAGGTTTAATGACAGAGATAAATATCTATTGCCTGCTGCTCGTGTTGCCGCAACATTTCTCATGCAAATCTTCACTTCTGGTTACAGAAAAATCTACTACAGTAATTCCTGCTACGAACTTCTGCTAATTGTGTTTCTACAACTCGATAGGAACGCGAAGAAAATGGTTTCCATTTATTTTAGGAAACACTGGAGGAAAAAAAAAAGATATCTACTCATTTATTTGGATGATTAAAATTCAAACTCTGTTTGCCCGCTTCATCGCAATGTCAACAGCTTGGGTTTTTCCGTGTTTCTATCGAGTTGTCAAAGTACAGCTTTCAGCGACCTTGTTCTCACACGGTGTTTCGTCATTGGTACTTCTTATACGATTATAATTTGCTTGAAAATTATTATTTAAGTCCTGTTTTAACAATTCTTTTACTTCATTATTTTCACACCGTTAAGAAAAATGGCTTAATACAATATGCAGATAATATCGACTAACTTTTAGTACATTTTTTTTGATATTTGAAAACCTATTAATAAAATATATATCTGGCATTTTGGAAACAAAAATGCAAATGGCAATCATACCTGAAACGCTTTACTGGCGGAGAATCGGAGAAGTTGAACGGTAATGTTGTAGCGAATCCAAAAAACTGGTATCACTCATGACATCGCATCGCACCCTGGATTCTGAAAGACAGCAGTTCACTAATCATCGTAAAAAAAAATTATACAACTTGGACCACGTGATTACCACCAGGTGCTCGTTATGTCAAGCCCTGTCCACACTACGCCGGAGAAAATTGAAAACGCCGCTTTATTTCTACGGTTAGGCCTACCGTCCACACTAATCCGTCACGAAAACGGAGCTTTTCGAAAATGCTCTTTAAACCGGAAGAATTTACGCTTTAGTTTGGAGTGAAATTATTTTGAAAACAGAGCTTTCGAAAACGATGACGTCACGATAATCACGTGATTTTCCTGACCGAGTTTTCCTCAAACACAAATCCAAAATGACCGGTGATCGTTGCGTTTTCAAATTTCTCCGGCGTAATTTGAGCGGAAAACGTTTGATGTGTTTTCAGGGTGAAACCTCCGTTTTCAAATTTCTCTGGCGTAGTGTAAATGAGGCCTTATTTAAATAGTTATCATAAAAAAAATGGTAGCAAAGTTGAAAGCTGTCTGTATTTTCATATGAGAGTTACATCAATTTTCTTTATCATTTGAAACGTTTTGACGCCTAAATTTCTGCATTCTAATAAAATTGCAGACGTATTGTAAAGGCAGGTTTTGGTAAACGGTTATTCAATCATTAATAACGATACTGCGAGCAGTTATTGAGCTCAGCATGCGAAACTGACAACCAATCACGTATAGTACCTAGCTTTTTAATCCATCACATAGGGCGCTTACCATTCGACCAAAAATTCCGAAATTTTCGAAACGGGGTCAAATGGTACGGAAATTTCCCAGGAAAAGTTCCAGAAAATCCGGAAATTGTTGAATTTCCGAAAAGCGAATCATTCAACCGAAAATTCAGGAAATTCCGGGATGAAAATCAAATGGAACGAAAATTTCCAGGAAAAAGCTTTATGAAAATTTGGGTATACCTCAAGAGGTTGTCCTCTTTACCGGAAATTATGTGAATTCGCAGTTTTCTATCCAGAGCTAGTTCTTTTAACCGCGATCACCACGATCATCCCAGACAAAGATAACGGCGACGTGATTCGAAAATGGATTAATATTTTACTTGCCACTTGTCGGTCGATAAATACTAACCTTAATTCGTCAAGAAAGCGTTTAATCCCAACAAAAATAAAACTTGGTCCTTATAATCGGGAAACTTTTTCATGTTTGTGAATCTAGCTTTTCTTGTATTGACGATTTAAAAAAGAAAGATGTGTAATTCAATATTTGCATGCACTTAGAGTTCTAATACTTAAACATGTAAAATTTAGTGTGAAAGGCTTCTACAATGAACACTGAAATCGACAATTTGTGACCAATGCATTCAATTCAATTAGCTTCTATTCTGTTTATTATCTTTTACTCGGCAACTGAAAGTTGAAAAGCGGCATGGTTTAGCTTTGTAGGTTTTCGTGGATTAATATATCCGCATCATTTATGAGCGAAGTTAAATATTTAGTAACTTGAAATAGTTTGCGCGGCAAGAATTAATATCAAAAANAAGCGGCATGGTTTAGCTTTGTAGGTTTTCGTGGATTAATATATCCGCATCATTTATGAGCGAAGTTAAATATTTAGTAACTTGAAATAGTTTGCGCGGCAAGAATTAATATCAAAAAATGAATTTTGGCTTTTTTATTACCCGTTGAAGCGACCGCCGAACAACAGGAATACGCAATTTTATAACTAATTTTGGTGGCCTCGTTTAGTATCAATTTTGTAATTTAATTTTTTGGGGCATTTTTGGCAAGAAATTTCAGTGGTAGTTGTGTAGTGCTAGTTTTGGCTTAAGCCTAGCTTACATGATTAAATTTTACCACCGTGTCTGCCAAATCAGATTAAACGGATACCTATCTTAAAACAAAATGTCGTGCTTTTTATCGCGCACGTGTACAGATCTTTGTGGGGGTTCAATAAGAACATCGGGTATCATTAGCTTACTTCAAAGCAATGACTCCATAGAAAGTCACCTTGCTTCCATCCATTTGTCACGAGAGACCATAACAGAGGGACAGTTTATCTTGGCGAGGGCTGGCCTTTTTGATTTGAACGAGTCGGTTGTCGCGCAAATGGCCGTATGCGCCAAGCGCAGGCACGCGTATGGGAAATTGTGGCGACCCAGAACAGCCTGTCAGTATCCAGCACATCAAGGGCGTCCTGGTAGGAGCCAGAAAGGGGCAAAGACGGAGCCGATATTCAGGGAATCTTGAAATGGCTAAAGCCATCAAATGTATGATGTTCTTGCTCAAGTCGGTTCAGGTGCGTACAACAAGTTGTAACTTTCTTACACACCTTTTGTTACATAACACAGGCGTGAAAACATTTCATCGTTTTCCTTTGCAAAATAGTTGACCTCAGTTCTAGATTCTTATATGGGATAGTTTTTCTTCCAGACATTGACTTTGCAAAGCGAAAGTTCAAGCGGAGCAACAACGGCAGAGGCAGAATCGTTGAAAAGTACCTCACGATTGCACATGGGATGGGCACTTCAAAAGAAACACGCAAGTGTGATATTTTCTCAAAAGGTTAGGCAGTATCTGATACAGAAGTTTAACATCGGGCAAGACACTGGTAAGAAAGAAGATCCAGCTCAGGTTGCGAAGGATATGCAGATATTGCTCCCACAATAGACGGAGAGAGTATGTTTGATAGAACGGAGTGGCTCCCGAAGTGTTAAATTCAAGGTTTCTTTTTTCTTCGAGATTATCTGCAAGCATAAAACAGGGAAGTCAGAGGCGAATAGAGTTGATGAGTGGAGGTGAGCTAGATACAGACACAGAGGAGGACGACGCTTTAGCAGAGGAGTACGCTTGCAAGTTAGTGTAGACGGGGAGCATTTGAGAGAAACAAGGAAGCTGTCCTGGGGACAGTAGGCTTAAACCACCCAATCTTGTACGATATTTACGATCTGTGCACGTTTGCAAGAGAGGCGAAGCTACCAACTTTCAAG